AGGCAGGACTGGCCTAGGGACATTTTAAATTGGTTTCTAATTAATTTTAAAATAAGAATAGGCCTATTGAATATATCTTTTAATTGATTTTAAATTTTGTAGATTTGTATCGATTGTTCTGTTTTTAATTGGCTGTAAGCCGCCCTGAGTCCACTAGGAGAAGGGCGGGATATAAATGCAATAAACTTGAAACTTGAAATCCTTTAGGGGGGGAAACAGCTAATTATCTATAAAAGATTATGGAATTATACTGAAAAACTTTTCATCATAAATATCAAATATCAAATATTTGGAGTAATAGCCTGATAGATAGATAGATAGATAGATAGATAGATAGATAGATAGATAGATAGATAGATAGATAGATAGATAGATAGATAGACAGACAGACAGACAGACAGACAGACAGACAGACAGACAGACAGACAGACAGACAGACAGACAGACAGACAGACAGACAGACAGACTTGGAAATCAATTCAGTTGCTGTCCAGCAAGAATCTATTTGGCCTAAAATATATACAATGTTTGTTTATCCACACTTATATGCTGGCTAATGTAACATATCTTACATAATGAATTCTGCAATTCTACATTATTCATAATATATAAAAACATTGACATACATGAAACACAAAAAACAATTCATAAATAAAACAATACTAATCATAAAAGTATTGCTGCCCTTGCAACTGAATGGCTATTGAAACAAAACTGTCCTAACTATTTCTTGCAGATCATCAAGGTAGTAGCACATCTGAGTCTTTCTCTCTGCTAGACTGTGTAGGGTGGGCAAATTCTTCTTGGATAAGCTTTCTGGGAGGTGATCCAAACCTTGAATTGGGCCCAAAATCCTATAAGCAATCAGTGCAGCTCCATCAGCATAGGTATTATCCTACTGAATCATTTAATGCTGGCAGCCCCATGTTAAGTCAATTATAGTCTAATGGAGAAATGACAAACAAAGGACAAATAATTTACTATTATTTTTCCAAACTTAAAATAATCTGAGAATTCAGTTTGTTTGTAGCATATACACCTCATTTAGAGAAATACCTATTTTTGATAACTTAAAAACTACTGGGTTTTGATCAGGATGAAAAGAAATAAATTATCTAAAAAGTCCCCAAGCTTACTTGTAAATACCTTCACCTATTCCCATTAGTTAGTGAAGTAGGGTATCAGGATATACTGGTAAACAAGAGGAATCAGGAATGTTCTTTTATATATAAAAAAATACAAATAGAAAAACTCATAAACAGAGAATCAAATTCATACTCTTCTTTTTTTCATCCCAGATACAGACTATAAAAGCCATGACAACTAACATACCTCATCGAATTTTTAACAATTACTTACTCCTTTTTCCAACAAGCACGCCTTGGTTTCTTACTCTGTTCCTTGTTCTGTGACTTCCCAGAAATCTAAGGAGCAATGAGAGTGAATAATGTTTTTTGCTCTTTATATACTGACGAAATGAAAAAAATTCTGTTTTAAAGCTAGGGGGAAAGAGGAGGAGCAAAAGGAGAAGTGAAAGCATCTTTTTCCCATTATTGTGCTTTTTTTAAATAGCAAAATGAAATCTGACTCAGTGAGAGGGAAAACAAAATTTATTTTGAATTGAAGAATGGATCAGGGAAGTTAGCTATGGCTGCAATTATGAGCACCCATACTTCCAAATCAATCTTACTATCATTGTTGTTGAGTATACCAATCAATTTATTTCTTCTCTTCTAGATTGAAGCACAGATGATGAATTATTTCCATCATTTGATGTCAGACCAAATTTAATGAAAAGTAATCTTGATATGAAAAGCTCTCAAAAACAAACAAAACAGATCTATATATGATGGACCAGCCATTTTGGTTCATTGTGGATTGCCTGTACACAGAGTTATTATAGGATTAGAATTTTATATAATGACTACACCTCCTCTTACATGGTACATTAAGATGAAATTATATATCCTATAGTAAAATCAGTCTTAATGCTTGATTTCCTTGCATAAACTGCCTAGAAGGTTTTCACTTGGGCTGGAAAGGGAAAAGAAGTTTTTTCATGCAATAGTTAAATGCAACTAGCAAACCACTTGAGCCAGCATAAGTTGGAAAATAATATTTTTATTATTTATTTAGGAGGAAAATATGCTAGAAGTTGTATGTTGTATGTTAGGGACATACAGCTTCCAAAATGCAATAAAAGCCAGCAGCTTTAATTACATCATCATGTTCACCATCTTTTACAGAAAAATAGAGTAGGGAGGGACCTTGGAGGTCTTTTAGTCCAGCTCCTAGTGAAGCAGGAAATCCTGTACCATTTAAGACAAATGGTTGTCCAATCTCTTCTTAAAAATTCCAGTGTTGGAGCAGCCAAAACTTCTCAAGGCAGCTTGTTCCAATGATTAATTGTTCTGCCAGGAAATATCTCCTTAGTTCTAGGTTGTTTCTCTACTTGATTAGTTTCCATCCAGTGCTTCTTGTTCTTTCTTTGGAGAAAATCTTGATATTTACTATCTTGATATTTACTCTTCTTTGTGATTATTTATGAACTGTGACAAATACACAACTCATTTAAAAGTTGCTCTGGAACTAGGAAGTCAGAAAAATTAAACCAACTCTTCCTACCTTCAATTCAGCAAAGGGCCTACATGATCTTTGACCTAGAAAAGATTTAACCCTTCTGATCTGGCATTTTGGTCTTCTAAGCACACTGCTTTATAAAAGTTTCAAAAAACAAGGATACTTGTTTTCTGCAAAATCATACAATGAGTTAAAAATTATGAAACCTACAAATTCCCTGGGGGAAAAATGGAAATATTCTGTTTAAGAAAAATATGCAGCTATCTTGGCACATGTTTTCCAGCCTGGCATGTTTTTTCATTTTGTTGACATCCTTTTGCAATGACCTGAGAGTTAACCAAAAAAAAAAAAAAAGAATTATTTTACAGTGTTTGGGAACAAAATCTGTTACTGGTATATATGTCCAAAATAAAAGAAAAACAGTAGAGTCTCCATAGAACTGAATTTAAATTATAATGAGTCCTGGATGCATCCATATAGAGTATACAGCTATTGTGTCCATACAGTTCTTTTGGCTATCATGTAGAAGTGGTTTGCATTTGCCTTCTTCTGTGTTCTTTTCTCAACTTTCCATTTCAACCTGTAAATTTTGGATTCCATGATGGTCTCCCACAAAGTTTAAAGCAGAACTGATCCTACTTCATTTTCAGAGATTGGACCAAGTGAGATTGGTGTTGCCAGTCAACTGGTTTCTTTAGATTCATCTTGGGGATGTTAGCATACTATGTAGGCATTCGCCTCTCACCTTAGTCTTTTGGTAAGTAACACCATCTTAAGGTATCCTTAAGTGTTCTAGTTTTCTTCCTTAAGCAAGCAGCAACCCCCAGCAGTTTGTAGATGTATGAAAACTGACATATATTGCAAACTATTCAATGTATGGTGGGGTTGGCTGACCTGCAGGGTAGGTCATTTCACACCAGGTTTTATACTTCTTCAAAAATGCCTAGTTTTCAAAGAGCCCTAAGTTCTCTGACAAAGCAAGCTAACCAAACAGCTACTGATTAGGTAGTAAATCTAGAACTAGCCTACCTGTGCAGCAAAAACAAAGATAATTGACTGCTACAATTATCTTTCAGAAGAAAAGAATGGGAGCAAAAAAGTCAAGATGCCAGCTGTGCAACTAAAGCCAACCACTTTTCAATGTGTGTGTTTGTGTTTGTGTGCGTGAAATTACTAATTCAAGCTGAAATATAAAATAAAGTACATACAAAAGAAGAAAGGGATATAGAGATATATTTCAAGACAGGATGTTTGTAGGGAAGATTAACAGTATCAAATTTGTAAGTGAAAACAGGCAATCAAAGCCCTGCTTTTTTTAATATGTAGTACACATCATCATCAACAATCACCCAGTTATAGCTGTCACATTGATGCAGTTGACATTGCCAAGCCTCTACTTTAAGGGGATTGGGATAAAAATGTAAGGAAGACATTTTTGGAGACAGAAATCCTCTCCAAAATAGAGTTCAAGTTTCCAAAGATAATTGTTCCAAAGAATCCTGTTGGAATGATTTAGGTTGGTATCTATAGAGGAGAAACATCCTGGATATAGATCACAGAATAATAATGATTTCACACTGCAAGTTTTAGATTCTCTTTTCTTGCCCTCCATTACTTCATTACTATGAATCTCTGTACTGAAGCTCTTGAAAATTTTCCTCTGGTTTTTTTATCTTAGTAATATAATAATTAGGTTAGGAGCAGCATGTGCCCTAGAGGTGTCACTTCTCACTCATAAAATTGAGAGTTCAATCCTAGGCACCATCAGATGTTTGTCTATCAGGGTGCAGAGACAAAATATCTGCTGTGAATTCTGTGTAGTCATCAGGAAGGGCATCTGGCCATAAATACTCAGCTCCGTTCAGTTGCTAGACTCCACCCCAAACCAAGAGATCACAGGCCCATAAAAAGAAAAAAATGTAGTAACTAGGTTGGAAGTTACAAAGACATGGTCTTTTGGGAGAGATAGCTGTAATTTCAGTAGGGAAATTTTGTGCACAGAAATTTTATCTTGCTGAATCTTCTGAGGAATCCACAAAACCAGTGGACTAAAATTCTCTTTCTAGGCCTGCAGTCTGCTTAGAGTTTTTGGAAGGGAAGGACAGAACTTTGGAGCTCTAGAATATTAACTTCTGCTTGACTAAGAATGTAGAATTGTCCAAACAGAGCACATAGGTAAATGCCAATTTTCCTGGCTTTGGAGGCTGCAAGTACAACAAAGAAACAAAAGCTGCTATACATCTGGATAATGAATGAGACATAGATTTACTGATGCATTTGACACAGATCTACACTGAGGACACCGGGATGTCATAAGTGGATGACAGAGAATTGTGGCTGGATGATAGTAAAGAGAGGGAAGGTAATTATGACTGATGGGGTGGAACTATCAGCAGATAACATAGCAGACTCTAGACTAGCTAAAGTAGCTTAGTATCCCACAGTCAAATGGAAACCATGATGATGTGGCAAGAAAGACAGTAACATCCAATCCCAGCAAAGACTGGACCTTCCTAAGTCATGATGGGAGATTCCACAGAAGGTTGTGCAGAATAAGTACGACTTCCAGATCCAGACAGACAAACAGGTACTGTCCAATCAATCAGACATTATGACAGTAGACAAGGACTGGAAGACAGTGGTGATGATAGATGTACTGATGCTAACTAGCAGCAATATCAGAAAAAAGGAGTAAGACAAGCTTGGAAAAATACCAGACCTTGTAGGAAGATTAGCAAGAGTATGGAAAGTAAAAGTCAACCTGGTCCCAGTGGTGGTAAAAGCACTTAGGGCTGTGACTCCTGAACTGGGAGAGTGGTGCCAATAGATTCCAGGAACAACCTCACAGCTTTCTGTTCAGAAGAGTGCAGTGTTAGGAACAGCTACGATTCTGCACAGAACCCCCAAACTCCCAAGCTTCTGGTAGAAGACCTGAGATTGAGAAGACACCCAGTCAAAGAGTTCGGCAACTCACATTTAACATTCATTTCACTATTGTTAAAGAACTCAAATTATTAATCTCTATTTTTCATTATATATCACAACACATAAACTCTAGTTCTGCTAGGTCCTATGAAACCAAGGTCTAAACCAACCCAATCGGTTTGATAATTACAGTGTTGATAAAATAGATTATATTATCATGTATAATAAGGAGAAGAAAAATTCTTACTTGGAAACATAATTAAATCCTTGTTAGTACAAGAATGAAATGCTTTTTTCAAAGAAACAAATTCAGCAATTAAAATGTTGGGGCCTATTGAATTTTTCATCATTGCGGGTCTGCAGAGACAAATATCTCAGTATCTTAGACATATATAAGTTAATAATTATTCCAATTTATCACACTAATGAAAATGCAATGGTTTTATATTGACTATTTTTTCTGACTGATCTAAACATATTTTGGACACAAATTATTAATCTGGGAACAAAAAAATGCAACATCTCATACAAATCAAATGATGTCTTTTCCATAAGTCTCCAATGGAATTTTTCAACTAAATGGGCAAAGTACCGAGTATGTCCTGAATTAACATTAATTAAATCTGTTCTGCTAATCACAACACACTATGAGGCTCTATTCACCTGGCCCATATTTTATCCTAAACACTTGATAGCATCTTTTGACCCTTTTGCTATTTTATGCAAAAATACTTCTGCTCTCAGTATCATACTAAGGAAGCCTTTAAATTTATTTTGGTATAAAATTTTATATTTAATCTGGATCGTGGAAGTTGTGGGGGGATTTTTCCCTCCTTTTTATATATCTCATGAGCTTCCATCCCTATTTATGAACTATAACTGGAACACACAAACACGCACACACACATACACTCACACACTTGTAATTGGAACACAGAGGGGGTGAAGGAGAGAGACAGG